ATACCCTTTATCGACAGAAAATATTATATCAGTTCTAAAACACCTGATAATATACCCTATATCTACAGACAATATTGTGTCAGTTCTAAAACACCTGTTGATATATACCCTATATCGACAGATACTATTGTATCAGTTCTAAAACACCTGTTAATATATACCCTATATCGACAGACAGTATTGTGTCAGTTCTAAACCACCTGCTGATATATACCCTAATGCGACAGACAATATTGTGTCAGTTCTAAAACACCTGTTGATATATACCCTACATCGACAGATAGTATTGTATCAGTTCTAAAACACCTGTTGATATATACCCTATATCGACAGATACTATTGTATCAGTTCTAAAACACCTGTTAATATATCCCCTATATCGACAGACAGTATTGTGTCAGTTCTAAAACACCTGCGGATATATACCGTATATCGACAGACAGTATTGTGCAAGTTCTAAAACACCTGTTATATACCCTATATCGACAGACAGTATTGTGTCAGTTCTAAGACACCTGGTAATATATACCCTATATCGACAAACAGTATTGTGTCGGTTCTAAAACACCTGCGGATATATACCGTATATCGACAGACAGTATTGTGCAAGTTCTAAAAAAACCTGTTGATATATACCCTATATCGACAGACAGTATTGTGTCAGTTCTAAAACACCTGGTAATATATACCGTATATCGACAGACAGTATTGTGTCAGTTCTTAAACACCTGTTGTATCCCCTATATCGACAGACAGTATTGTGTCAGTTCTAAAACACCTGCGGGTAATATATACCCTATATCGACAGACAGTATTGTGTCAGTTCTAAAACACCTGCTGATATATACCCTAATTCGACAGACAATATTGTGTCAGTTCTAAAACACCTGCGGATATATACCGTATATCGACAGACAGTATTGTGCAAGTTCTAAAAAAACCTTTTGATATATACCCTATATCGACAGACAGTATTGTATCAGTTTTAAAACACCTGTTGATATATACCCTATATCGACAGACAGTATTGTGTCATTTCTAAAACACCTGTTGGTATATACCCTATATCGACAAACAGTATGGTGTCAGTTCTAAAACACCTGTTGATATATACCCTATATCGACAGACAGTATTGTGCAAATGAAAGTCCTAAATAATTTGGTGATTTATATCCAATATCGGCAAACAATGTTGTAAGCACTTTTTTTAGATACACCCGATATCGAAATATGATGCGTCGACAAGTGAGAAAATGTGTAGCGGGTTGACCTATGAATATGAAACTCTTAATAGCTATAACTGGGTGAAGCGCTTAATTAGCATCCTTATAACTAGTCCGAGATATTATGAAAACTCGGGCCTAAATATAATAACCTTCCGTCTACCGTGTGGAGAACAACCGTTTATGTGCAAAACTGTTTGCAGCTACTTGTTCATGTTAGAAAATATACCACAGCGTCGATCATAATACCAGAACACAATACACACGGGAAAAAAAAACAAAAAAACAACAGAAGTAGGATATAAAATCCGAAGGTGAAACCAGGTGGCAAGGACGGATAACCGGTTTTTTTTTACCTCATTTGGAACACATTACGATGTTTCCTGTCAAACCTGGAAAACTATGTAGGTTACCGAAGCTGTCATAGTAATCAAATCTTTAATTAGGGAAGCCACTAAAAATCCCACTGTTGGAAATCAAGTCATGATGACGACCGCGAAGTGTATTCCATGTTAACTTAAGTCTCATTTCAAAGTTGGTTGGGAACAAAACGTCAGGGATATATCTAAATAAATCCGGAATTGAAGAGATATATATTCAAACACGAGGTACTATTCCAAGAGCGATACCAGGTGTTCGGAAACCTGCGCTACATGTTACAACCGACTTGTCTCCCGTCAAATCCAAGAAATCATTTCAAGACACTAACACGTATAATGTTGGGCTTCATATATTGCTATCAAGTGTATTAACAATGCACCTTATATTACCTAGTCTGTTCTTGTTGTTATCAGGGAATGCGAGGTCACGCACCGGGCTGAATGAGTCCATCGGGTATCCAGCTGAACAAGACCTCTGTGGTCGTCATTCTAGTGTTGTGTGGTGGATTAGCTCTTCTTTATCGCTTCTACTGGCACACACCCTCCGTGGAGAAAAAGATGGCAGCTAACACGCAACCGGGTAACACGCAGCCGGGTAACACACAGCCTGGCACCTGGTTCACACAGATGATGCCAGTGCCTGAGAAGATTAAAGAAGCCGCCAAGAAGATCACGGTGGAGAAGAAAGTGGTCGATTTAACTTTTGAAGGTCAGGTAAGATAACTGGCTAAACATATTTAGGAAGTGTGGATTGACGTCATGGTTTTCTTGAATATCATATCATATCCTTATGAAATGAATGTAACTCAGCAAGTAAGGCATGATATCTATATATTTTGACATTAGTCCTGCTGTATTTCAAATTTAAAACCTTAGCAGAAAAATAAAGAGGCTGTTTTGTTGGTAGGCAATTGTTATGTTGTAACTTTTCTAGAAGATTTGGTGGTATTTACCAGAATCATATGTTTGTGTAGGCTTGTAAGGAGAGATTAACTATGCTTGTAAGGAGACATTAACTACGCTTGTAAGGAAAGATTAACTATACTTGTAAGGAGAGATTAACTATGCTTGTAAGGAGAGATTAACTTTATGAGGTGTTGCAGTCTTATAAAAGTGTTGACTCCAGTTGCCAGAGTCCAGAGATATTTAAACAATTTAACATAATAGTTAAGTTTTTTGTTGTAGGAGATGAAGATCCGCACACGCGAGCCTGTACTTCAGGTGGAATCCCGGGGTGATGTGCTGCTGTTGCACGGGCAGAAGTTCACTTCCGAGACTTGGGTTACCAAGTGTCCCACCCTACCGTTCCTGGGGGCCGCGGGGTACCGTGCTGTGGCAGTCGACCTTCCTGGTAGGTTAAACATACTGTATAACAAGTCTATCTACTCTGGTGCATCCACAAAAACAGTCCAGGGAGTACGCTTACTTAGTGCTCTTCACCTCAGGAACATGCCAGGCTCCAATAGACGCCATTGAAGCCGAGTGTGGCTCTGAAAACTTCAAAGGACAGGTATCAGGCTAGCGATTTGTATTTCTTTTACCTGAAACAAATCAAATAGCTTACCTATTGCCTTCAATTTTGTGATGACATATTTTAAGGGGGCAGAAGGTAAATGTGCGTAGCCCCTAGACCAATATTCATGAAAATGATTTCATGCTCAAGCATGAATTCTTTGCTCAAACCAACTTTCTTGTAACTCGTTTATCATGTCAAACGATCCAAAAGTTAAATATAAACACTGAAAACAGTTTTCGGTCTTAATTCTTTTAATTTTTTTTCTAAATTATTGACAAAATGCAAAATGTAAGATTTTTTTTTAATTAATTTATAAGGAGAACAAGAAATTCGGCTTGAGCGCAATATCCATGCTTGAGCGTGATAATGGTTTCATGAATACGGGCCCTGTAATTTCGAGGACACAGCCGGTGGGGCTGTGGGGTACTGACCTATGGCAGTAAACAGTAGTTTAACGTCAATCCTATTTTAATATTAGTGTGAAGGAGGGTGCAGGACTAAAGAGGTAATCAGTAAAAGTAGATCGCAAACACAATGTTAACCTATTGATTGAAATGCTGTACATACCTCTGGTTATATGTATGCAAGTACTATCCCTGTGTACTGTTTGTTAGTGTGAGAAAGACAGCAGGTGTTGGGTATATTACCGAAGCTCTCACTACATAATCATTGAAATGTCATTCTATTACTTATATTGCTTTTAAAATTCTATTTTTATAATTCTAGGTCAGTCCTAGAGTGCGACAGGTGTTTATTTTACTATGTACATAAACGTCGAGATCCGGAAATAAGGTTGTAGTGATATCGTCAATGTGTTCATACAGGTGTTTGCGCATTATACAAACACAGACGATGACCAGCATACACGTATACATACAAAATATGTGACCAGCATACACGAATACATACAGAATGTGTGACCAGCATACATGTATACATACAGAATGTGTGATCAGCATACATGTATACATACAAAATGTGTGACCAGTATACACGTATACATACAAAATATGTGACCAGCATACACGTATACATACAAAATATGTGACCAGCATACACGAATACATACAGAATGTGTGACCAGCATACATGTATACATACAGAATGTGTGATCAGCATACATGTATACATACAAAATGTGTGACCAGTATACACGTATACATACAAATATGTGACAAGCATACACGTATACATACAAAATATGTAACCAGCATACATGTATACATACAAAATGTGTGACCAGTATACACGTATACATACAACATATGTGACCATTATACACGTATACATACAACATATGTGACCAGCATACACGTATACATACAAAATATGTGACCAGCATACACGAATACATACAAAATATGTGACCAGCATACACGAATACATACAGAATGTGTGACCAGCATACATGTATACATACACAATATGTGACCAGCATACACGAATACATATAGAATGTGTGACCAGCATACATGTATACATACAGAATGTGTGATCAGCATACCTGTATACATACAAAATGTGTGACCAGTATACACGTATACATACAAAATATGTGACTAGCATACATGTATACATACAAAATGTGTGACCAGTATACACGTATACATACAAAATATGTGACCATTATACACGTATACATACAAATATGTGACAAGCATACACGTATACATACAAAACATGTGACCAGTATACATGTAAACTTACAAAATGTGTGACCAGCATACACGTATACATACCAAGTATGTGACCAGTATACATGTATACATACAAAATATGTGACAAGGATACATGTATTCAAACAAAATGTGTGACCAGCATACATATAAACATACAAAATGTATGACCAGCATACTTGTATACATACAAAATGTGTGATCAGCTTACACGTATACATACAAAATGTGTGACAAGCACACTTATTTCCATACAAAATGTGTGCACAGGATACTTGTTTACATACAAAATGTGTGACCAGCATACATGTATACATACAAAATGAGTGACCAGCATACTTGTATACATACAAAATGTATGACCAGCATACTTGTATACATACAAAATGAGTGACCAGCATACTTGTATACATACAAAATGAGTGACCAGCATACTTGTATACATACAAAATGTGTGATCAGCTTACACGTATACATACAAAATGTGTGACAAGCACACTTATTTCAATACAAAATGTGTGCCCAGGATACTTGTTTACATACAAAATGTGTGACCAGCATACATGTATACATACAAAATGTTTGCCCTGCATACAAATATATTTACAAAATGTGTGACAGCATACATGTAAACTTACAAAATGTGTGAACAGCATACATGTATACATACAAAATGTGTGAACAGCATACATGTATACATACAAAATGTGTGATCAGCTTACACGTATGCATACAAATTGTGTGACCAGCATACAGTGATACACATACAATGTGTGACCAGCATACATGTATACATACAAAATGTTTGCCCTGCATACATATATATTTACAAAATGTGTGACAGCATACATGTAAACTTACAAAATGTGTGAACAGCATACATGTATACATACAAAATGTGTGATCAGCTTGCACGTATACATACAAAATGTGTGAACAGCATACAGTTATACCCATAAAATGTGTGACCAGTATACTTGTCGTTTCTACAGAAATTTCTCGCATTCCGAAAATGCATATGACTATCAAAAACAAAAACCATTTTGATTGATAACCTTAGAAGCAGTCAAGGGAAAAACTTAACTTTATTATCTTTATTTTCACAACAAAACTAATGTTACAGTGGAAAAATGAAAAACATTTTAATCAAAAACTTTGTTTCACATATTGATGACCTTTTAGTGTACCATTTAAAAATATATAATAAAAACTTAGTTTCCTTATTTTGTAATATTTGGAAACGGCAATATCATTAGAAATGTTATTCAGTAAACGTTATTCCGACACATTTTTAGATGTCAGAACGTCTTGTGAGTTATCCCCCTTTGTCTTGTTAGAGCGTTGATACTGTAACGTTGTCACTGTACAAATGGGTTTTTTTTCTGGATCAATCACCAATGTTGCACTCTCATAATTGTTGTACCTTTTGCATATTCATGATTTGTAATCTACAGGCTACGGTGAGAGTACGAAGGGTGAAGTCGGCGCCGAAAAGCGGGGCTCATTTATTGCTGCCTTAGTGAAGGCACTGAAGCTGACAACTCCAGTGATTGTGAGCCCTTCGATGAGCGGGAGCTTCTCTCTCCCCTTCTTGTTCGACAAGCCCGATACAGTGCTGACCAGGGCCAGAGGATATGTGCCAGTGGCACCCGTAGAAACGGAGAAGTACGCGTCAAAATTCAGTGAGGCAAAGGCAAGTGTTTAAATGTATCACACATGTCCCCACCAAATATAACATTATAGTCATACAGACAGTTTTCGCTTTATCATAAAAAATACTTGAAATGGACAGATTTCCCATTACACATGCTGTACACTATTCCAACTCTTCGTTAACGTATCCTGCCTCCAGCACACACATACATGGAGGCACGTCCTGAAATGACCTTAGCTGTTAATAGGAGGCTAAACCCTATACAATCAACCAACAAAATCTTCCAAAAAACTAAGCATTGGTCTTGTTTTCTTCTGGTGTTTCTTTTTCAAGGTCCACTGGGCTTTTACTCTTTTAGTTCGTTTCCGTTTCATCTCCCCATTGTCTTTAACATCTTTAGTTGTTTCTATTTCCAGATCCATATTAGTAAATTGATTGTCTGTTTTCAGATCCCAACTGCCATAGTAACAGGGGGAAAAGACGCATCAATCGGGCCGAAGGCACGAAAGAACCTGGCAGCTCTGACCAACGCTAAGGACTTCCTGCTGAAAGATGCCAGCCATCCTGCGTACCTCGATGATCCGGAAACGTGGCACGCCATTCTATTTACATTTCTTAAAACAGTGTTCAAGTAAACGCAGCACCAGAAAAGCACCTAGTCCAAACTAAATCTTCAACAGGGTGTTAGAGAAAAACGTCACCAAGAAACACCTGCCTAAACTACATCATCATCAGAGGAGAATATACCAAAATAATTATACAACAATAGTTCTTACACAATTGTACTATTTTGGATAGGTACTATTTTAACAATTTTGATATTGATGATGGATTCTGATATATATCACAATACAACAGAATGATCATGCTTGCAGGCTGGCCATGTAGTGATACATTGATGAAGGCATTCTTTACCCAAGGTAATAATGCTGGTGTCCGGTACCTTGTTACAGAATTGTGGAACTATTGACATTATAGGGAATGTTTAAACCGGGTTATAGAACCAGAAGGAAAAAACAGGATATGGTTTACAGCCAATGTTTACACAGAGATGAAGCTTATGACAAACAATTCGGTTAGTGCCATGCTGGAGAATAGGGTTTAATGTAACTTTCTACACAACGGTGTGGTCTATAACATTATGTGGGATCTTTAAAAGTACATGTGCTATTTCGTATTAAATATTTTGTTATGATTTATTATTATGTGAAAATGGCCTTCTGTATATATTGTTAATGTTATGTGTATAAAACAGTAATGGCTTGCTGTTTATAATATATATGGTGGGCATATATACTAAACAGTAATGGCTTGCTGTTTATAATATATATGGTGGGCATATATACTAAACAGTAATGGCTTGCTGTTTATAATATATATGGTTGGCATATATACTAAACAGTAACTGAGACATGCCAACATACTATACAGTATCATGATTATATATACATATATTAATGGTATGATATACTAAATTCTTGAGGCTTAGGGTCATGTATTATACAGACAGTTTGTATATATATACTACTCAGTTGGTAACTTTGTATAGTTGGTAAGGTTGTATATATATACTACACAGTTGGTAAGGTTGTATATATATACTACACAGTTGGTAAGGTTGTATATATATACTACACAGTTGGTAAGGTTGTATATATATACTACACAGTTGGTAAGGTTGTATATATATACTACACAGTTGGTAAGGTTGTATATATATACTACACAGTTGGTAAGGTTGTATATATATACTACACAGTTGGTAAGGTTGTATATATATACTACACAGTTGGTAAGGTTGTATATATATACTACACAGTTGGTAAGGTTGTATATATATACTACACAGTTGGTAAGGTTGTATATATATACTACACAGTTGGTAAGGTTGTATATATATACTACACAGTTGGTAAGGTTGTATATATATACTACACAGTTGGTAAGGTTGTATATATATACTACACAGTTGGTAAGGTTGTATATATATACTACACAGTTGGTAAGGTTGTATATATATACTACACAGTTGGTAAGGTTGTATATATATACTACACAGTTGGTAAGGTTGTATATATATACTACACAGTTGGTAAGGTTGTATATATATACTACACAGTTGGTAAGGTTGTATATATATACTACACAGTTGGTAAGGTTGTATATATATACTACACAGTTGGTAAGGTTGTATATATATACTACACAGTTGGTAAGGTTGTATATATATATACTACACAGTTGGTAAGGTTGTATATATATACTACACAGTTGGTAAGGTTGTATATATATACTACACAGATGGTAAGGTTTGCTCTAAGCTATATTTTATTACACTGGCCTACAGGACTTTTGGTGGGACTTGAGTCTTGTATCTAGTACAGTAAGATTATTGTTGTTTAAGCTCACCAAGCGGGTTATTCCTATTGTAGTTTGCATTCATTCAATTCTTTTATCGACATAATCTCATTTTCAACTTCTCGGAATATATACGACTTAATTTGATATAATGCCGTACCACGGTATCAGGGGGTTATATACGTGTTAGTATGGTCAGATTTGATATAATGCCGTACCAGGTATCGGGGTTTTTATAGGTGTTAGTATGGTCAGATTTGATACAATGCCGTACCAGGTATGGTCAGATTTGATATAATGCCGTACCACGGTATCGGGGGGTTATATAGGGGTTAGTATGGTCAGTTTTGATATAATGCCGTACCACGGTATCAGGGGTTGTATACGTGTTAGTATGGTCCGATTTGATATAATGCCGTACCAGGTATCGGGGTTTTTATAGGTATTAGTATGGTCAGATTTGATATAATGACGTACCACGGTATCAGGGGTTGTATACGTGTTAGTATGGTCAGTTTTGATATAATGCCGTACCACTGTATCAGGGGGTTATATACGTGTTAGTATGGTCAGAACTTGGTTATTGTTGGTGATGTTAGGATCCAAAAACTGGGAGGTTTATAAAAACAAATAATATAAGTAATGATCCTTTCTTATAATCAGACAAGTTGGATCAGTAGATTGGCCTTGTTGAATCAAAAACTTAACATAAAAATGAGGTCTTGTTTTCAATATAAAAAAAATATAAATAGGTAAACGGCTTGTAAAGAATCCTCTTCTGGAGGCATGTTGTGACCAAGCGCTAAATATTTCAAAACTGTAATGACATACGAGTCTGGGAAAAAAACTTTTATTTTTTATTTTACAACAATTATGAAACAAGTTATTTAAACTTATATTAATCACTCTTGTTAATCCGGATAATAGCGTGCGTGGGGGTCTTATTGTGGGAGGAAACTGTAATACCCGGAGAAAAACAACGTGGTCGGGCAAGTGACCCCATACCTTTCACGTCCGATCGGGGAATCGAAACCCTGCCGCCTTGTTGAAAGCCAATTGCGCTATCCACTGCGCCATCCGACCACCCATAGATTGTCTAGGGGTTAAGATTTGATCATTTCATAAATCTAGGGTATACAAGGGGCCACGCGAAGGGGTCTGGGTTTAGCATATGTTTACAGTTATTACAATTTTAATTGTTTGTTAAATGCTTTCTACTGTTCATGTTAATCGACTCAACTTGAAGTATACCATCAGTAAAGGGAAAGTGGTCCCGTACAAGACCAAACAGGAGAATTAAGGTTCGCTCAAAGACATTTTGGTGAGCTTCAGAGTCGTCATTCTTTCTTTTTCTTAATTCTTCACATAAAGCATGTTCAAGATGTGACGGCTCCAATTTTTTGATAATAAAAATCCAGGAAGGGTGTTTTTTCAGACCCAATCAGTAATTGAGGGGTCGGTCATACGCGAGAATCCTGAGATGAAAGGTTGAAAATGGTTCCTGAGACGGCATTGTATTATATTAGGTGTGTCCTTTCCAAGCATACGTATACTCAAGAGAACATTATTATGTGCCGTTCTCTTGTTATAGATATTTTTCTTCGGGGCGTTGACAGAAAACAAAGATCTTTCAATACATAGGTAATTCACATAGGTAAATCACAATCAGTTGGGTGATTGAAGGCCTTTTTGACGTGTTTTGTTTGCATTAGTTTGATGTTCAGATTAGATATTTAAAAGAGATAAATCACCTTCTGGTTGTGTTGTAGTAAACAGATATATGTGTATTGATCTGTGTTGTAGTAAACAGATATATGTGTATTGATCTGTGTTTATCTCGTTTTATATCCGAGTATTTCCTGGCGGGTAGGGGACAGTAGGTTTAAGAGAGAAAGTGTGTATATCAGTTTTCTATCCGAGTACTTCCTGGTGGAGTAGGGGACATTAGGCTATCTAGTGATATGATGGTGTAATGCTCCCCACTGATAATTTCGCCATTCACACCATGATAATCCATTTTTGCGGCTCTCATTACGAAGGAAGATAAAGGCGAACATCATCGGAGTACAGTGTGTACAGTAATTCTCATTGAATAGTTCAATTATATAGAGTACATTTGTCGAACATTTTGAAATATCTTAGGATGAATTAAACACTGTTCTATTATATAACAGTGAAATGGTTTGCACTACGGACGCATAGTACTCTTTAAATTGTCTATTGCGGTAAATTGGTTCAACGCCATTTTATATAAACTTTTGAAAAGTCAGGGTTGTGTTAAACGCATTTCAATATAATTGACCTCTACTCGAGGTTGTGCGACACATTAATTGAAGGAAGGTTGGAAACCTATCCATTGAGTTATCTTATCATACAGGGTGTGGTGAACATATTGTTGTGCTATTGTTCTCTGTAAATCGGTGTGTATTGAAAGTATTTCTTGTAAGGTATCACATAATCCATGTTGTATTGAACACATTTCCATTGGAAGGTCTGATACTTATACACTGTGTAGTTGTCTTATTAATTTGCTATTTTTGATATTAAAAATAATTCATCTCAAAAGACGAAAATGTGGGTGTATTTTTCTTAAACGGTAGATAGCGACTTGTTTGACAATTGGTTTAACATAATTCACTACAGTGCATTTGACTTAACATAAACTTGTTTATCCTAAGTCACTAGGGCGCATCTGATTTAAACATAAGTTTTTCTACCATATGTCACATTTTGCATCTGACTGAAACTTGTATACCATAAGTCACTAGGGCGCATCGATAAGCCTCCATTTTTCCGGTTGGATATATCTATCCTACAAATGTACATAGATAGAGACATACAATCTCAACGGACAAGAAACACGCCGTTAGCAGTGAACAATCTTCACAGAAAGATGCCATTGACAGAAATAGGTAAAGGTCGCAATAGTTGACGGTGTATAGATAAGTACATATTACCGCTAGCAATAGTTGACGTTGTATAGATAAGTACATACTACCTCTAGCAATAGTTGACGTTGTATAGATAAGTACATATTACAGGGGCAGAAGTAAATACATAATTCTCATGCATAGTAATCAATTATGGTATACTGCTACATTTACATCTAGGAAGACAAAGTGTTGCAAAGTAAAAGTTGTTTTATTGTGAAGTTAAGGATATTTTGCCTTATTTTCATCGATTTTGAATTTGACTTTTCCGTATTTAATAAGTTAATAACAATTTCCTGGCCCGAAGGTTGACCCGGGGTATCAATGACGAAGTGAGAATCGTTCCATTTGATTCGGAGTCTACTCGATTCCTACAGTCGTCTTTGAGGTTGATATCACTATTCTATGTTTCTATTTATAAATAAACGATAATGACATCTCATTGTCTTCTTATATCAGTTCTTTGACCTGTATTACCAGCAATCTTTTCACCTTTAGTAGCCCTGATGAATCCTGAGGGTTGTAATAGCCATATGTTACAGTAAAAAGTTCTACTCTATATTGGTTGTTTAGCCTGCTGTATCGACCAACTGCTAATTGTTTAAATACATTTGTTATTACTTTGTATTTCTATTGAATGTTTCCGATACCCATGGAGAACATTTGAATGATATCAGAAGTTTATAAGGCGTAAGTGTAAAAGATCCATTGGACCATAATATTCTCCCAAAACCTCCCAAATAGTCGAAAAAGGGCCAACTGATGGCAAATCTTGCCAATAAAGATATGGTGAGGATCAATCGGCTTGTGATGGCTGTTCAGGGGTTTAATAACACGTGTGGAATCCGGCATTGATACCTGAATGAATTGATATCCTAAAAGGTTTTCGGTTATACTTTGGAAGTTTTTCTCATTTCATACGTTTAAAATATTTTCTTGGACGTTCCTATGGTTACTGTATATGCGTTTTCTTTACTCTCTACCTTTCTTGTTCCCTTTTTCCAATACCTGTAACTTCTGTGACCTGTAGCTGTGAAACTGTGACTGTGAAACAGAGAACTGTGGCTGTAAAATGTGACCTGTCGCTGTGAAACTGTGACATATGGCTGTGAAACTGTGACCTGTGGCTGCTAAACTGTGACCTGTGGCTGCTAAACTGTGACCTGTGGCTATGAAACTGTGACCTTTGGCTGTTCAACTGTGACCTGTAGCTGTAAAACTGTGACCTGCGGCTGTGAAACTGTGTCCTGTGGCTGTGAAACTGTTTCCTTTGGCTGTGAAACTTTGACCTGTAGCTGTTAAACTGTGACCTGCGGCTGTGAAACTGTGACCTGTGGCTGTTAAACTTTGACCTGAAGCCGGGAAACTGTGACCTTTGGCTGTGAAACTGTGACCTGTAGCTGTAAAACTGTGACCTGCGGCTGTGAAACTGTGACCTGTCGCTGTGAAACTGTGACCTGTCGCTGTGAAACTTTGACCTGTAGCTGTGAAACGGTGTACTGTGGCTGCTAAACTGTGACATGTAGCTGTGAAACTGTGACATGTAGCTGTGAAACTGTGACCTGTGGCTATGAAACTGTGAGATGTAGCTGTGAAACTGTGACATGTAGCTGTGAAACTGTGACCTGTAGCTGCTAAACTGTGGCCTGTTACTTTGACGATCTGATTTGGCAGTGTAACATGTGACTTTGACGATCTGATTTGGCAGTGTAACATGTCACTTTGACGCGATGATTTGGCAGGGTAACCTGTTACTTTGACGCGATGATTTTGGCAGTGTAACCTGTTACGTTAACGCTATGTTTTGGCAGTGTAACATGTGACTTTGACGATCTGATTTGGGAGTGTAACATGTCACTTTGACGCGATGATTTGGCAGTGTAACCTGTTACTTTGACGCTATGATTTTGGCAGTGTAACCTGTTACTTTGACGCTATGATGTTGGCAGTGTAACATGTCACTTTGACGCTATGATTTGGCAGTGTAACCTGTTACGTTAACGCTATGTTTTGGCAGTGTAACATGTGACTTTGACGATCTGATTTGGCAGTGTAACATGTGACTTTGACGATATGATTTTGGCAGTGTAACATGTCACTTTGACGCGATGATTTGGCAGTGTAACCTGTTACTTTGACGATCTGATTTGGCAGTGTAACATGTCACTTTGACGCGATTATTTGGCAGTGTAACATGTTACTTTGACGATCTGATTGGGCAGTGTAATATGTCACTTTGACGCGATGATTTGGCAGTGTAACATGTTACTTTGACGATCTGATTTGGCAGTGTAACATGTCACTTTGACGCTCTGATTGGGCAGTGTAACATGTCACTTTGACGCGATGATTTGGCAGTGTAACATGTTACTTTGACGATCTGATTTGGCAGTGTAACATGTCACTTTGACGCTCTGATTTGGCAGTGTAACATGCTACTTTGACGATTGTTTCGCAGTGATATGTTTAGTGATATTGTGACGGGTTGTTTACGATGCTGATAAAAGGTGTTCATGCTATTACTTTGGTTAAAGGCGTGGATGGGTGTCACGATACTGCTCCGAACGCCGTAAAAGAAAAATCGGCTGAATTGTGTTGATCAACGCGTATCGGTCACGATTTATTGTGAAAAGAAAGTCTACATGTTAAATTAGCGATTTGTGAAGGTTTGTGGTCTTCGGTCATAGGCAACCGTAATGTTTCCCTTCAACTTTCGCCAATACCTTCTGGCGTTTAAAGTAAATGACGTATGCCTAGTGCGTGTCACTTGACGCTCAAACAAACAGCTTGTTTTTATTTTCACGACCGATGAAACTGTACAAAATTGTCGAAGTGTATATTTTGAGATATCAAAACTTACAATGTAGCTGTAGGGTACTCTGACTGGAACAAAGGATAGATGGAGACGATAATCGAATGTCCACTCCTCTGCGTCACGAGGTCCAAAATACTAACAACGATTATGTTTACAAATTTAATGGCCAGAGTATAACGTGACATGCCCAAGACAAAGGTGGACTGACCTGAGGGTTAAGTAAACCTTATAAATTAGAGTTACGGCTGCCAATAGTTAGTTCAAGCAAGAAAAAGCCATGGACAGACGGTGGATTCTTCTGGTTCTAGCCATCAGTGGCTACGGTGCGAGTAGGGAGATCTCCTCAGGAGGTAAGTGACATCAGCTTTTAAAATGTGTACTTTTTTCAAGCAATAGCATTTTGAAATATTTGTAGATTTGAAAATAAATAACATGGCATTCTATAGCAATACAAACGATACATTATACTAAAATGGATTATTGAATCAGCATTATCTTCAACTTGTTGAAGTTGGTCATTACCATTTAGAAGTACTCTAAACAGAGTATGTTTTAATGTAAGTTAGTCTATCAATAGAGCTCCAAGGATCACTTCTGTTTATACATATATGATACACATCATTACCATAATCAATTTCATCATTTACACATTCAATTTAGGATATTCTTTACCAGTTCTGCTAAGCATTTTCCTCTACAGTGCAAAGTTTACTACCATATGTTAAACGCATACTTGTCCAGTAATCCGATGTCTTAGTGTGTCTGTCAGGGACCAGGGCTCCGCTGTCTTCATCTCATCAAAATATGTCAAAAGGTTTTAGTTTTAAGTGATATTCATTGTTTTGGCCAGACCAAGTTCCTACAATGTCGTGTGCGTGTGTAATCAGAAATTAATCGATGTTTCCACAATTGATAAAATTAGTATTTTCCTTTAAATTATGGAAGTGATATTTCTTTAACTTACATTTTCATGTAAGAAAAACAATTAAACTTACACGCAAAACAAAATAATTTCTCTACACGTTTTGTAGATTTAACGATCGATATATTCATTGGGGTAAAAGAAAATGCGTTTCTCTTACTAAAAACAGTAAACAAATGAAAGACTGGTCGGGGGGTTCCGTTACTCCTATAACATAAGAGGCCGCTGGTCGGCCTTTTTATTATTGGAAACGATTTTGCCGACTAATTCTTTGATGCAGATTCCGCCCGAAATCTGGGCGGAACAAAATCGGCTTGAAAAACTCAATTAAGTGGTTCACAGTTCATGACAACGATGTCTACTCACGGTTCATATAATATAGATCCCATATGTATGTCACAAACACAAATATATAATATATTGCGAAATAGAACACTCAAAATATGTGTCCATGTCGTTATAGCACTTCTCAAACCTACTTTTACAACACGGCTTCTTGGGTTGATACAAAATAGCAGGGAGTAATTCAAACGGTATGAAATGATATAGAGTTTGTTTGTATTCCGCTTATAGAACATTACATGTAATCCATTTTTGTATTAACCGGAAAATCACGACAAATATTGTCTGCTTCACTTAGAAAGAGAAAAAACTCATTGTTTATGTCTTTGACACGAAATTCTTCTCATTTAGATATGGATTTATGGAAAGGAATATTGATTGGACCCTGTTGAACATTTAAATGTATGCTAACACGATATTTTTTTTGTAAACCGAACTTTGAAAAATTTGATTGTCAGCATCGGGAAAATCAGCTATGTGCAGTTAGAGGTTACACGGCGCCTGTCAAAAGTATCTCGCCGTATAAACCTCTATCACTGTTAGGGAGTAGGGGTTCGGTGTAATTTTTATTTGATTTGCATACCTAGCTTTTGCAAAATCAATAATCAAAAGAGGTTCAGTCGACCTAAATAGATAAAAAAAAAATACCAATATTGTAGCATTTGCAAGAAAGATCTTAAAACTTCTGCAAACATGCAAACAATAGGCAATTACTTTTTGACACAATTTTTAAATGTTTCCTTTAAAATTGAGCGTAATTTGTTAAATCAAATAATAAAACAAGTGTTTTTTTTTACATCAAAGCGAGATGTAAACGCGATTTAAAGAGTATATCCTTAAGTACCATATTCTTTATAATGTGAAATAATCATCTTAACAACAAATGTCAACACTTAATATGACATAACGTGTTTATAATGCTATTACAGGGACCTGACTGTTGTGATATTACAGGGAACTGACTGCTATGATCTTAGAAGGACCTGACTGTTATGACATTACAGGGACCTGACTGTTATGATATTAGAGGGACCTGACTGTTATGATATTATAGGGACCTGACTGTTGTGATATTACAGGGAACTGACTGCTATGATCTTAGAAGGACCTGACTGTTATGACATTACAGGGACATGACTGTTGTGATATTACAGGGACCTGACTGTTATGATATTACAGGGACCTGACTGTTGTGATATTACAGGGACCTGACTGTTATGATATTACAGGGACCTGACTGTTATGATATTACAGGGACCTGACTGTTATGATATTACAGGGACCTGACTGTTATGATATTACAGGGACCTGACTGTTATGATATTACAGGGACCTGACTGTTATGATATTACAGGGACCTGACTGTTATGATATTACAGGGACCTGACTGTTATGATATTACAGGGACCTGACTGTTATGATATTACAGGGACCTGACTGTTATGATATTACAGGGACCTGACTGTTATGATATTACAGGGACCTGACTGTTATGATATTACAGGGACCTGACTGTTATGATATTACAGGGACCTGACTGTTATGATATTACAGGGACCTGACTGTTATGATATTACAGGGACCTGACTGTTATGATATTACAGGGACCTGACTGTTATGATATTACAGGGACCTGACTGTTATGATATTACAGGGACCTGACTGTTGTGATATTACAGGGACCTGACTGTTATGATATTACAGGGACCTGACTGTTATGATATTACAGGGACCTGACTGTTATGATATTACAGGGACCTGACTGTTATGATATTACAGGGACCTGACTGTTATGATATTACAGGGACCTGACTGTTATGATATTACAGGGACCTGACTGTTATGATATTACAGGGACCTGACTGTTATGATATTACAGGGACCTGACTGTTATGATATTACAGGGACCTGACTGTTATGATATTACAGGGACCTGACTGTTATGATATTACAGGGACCTGACTGTTATGATATTACAGGGACCTGACTGTTATGATATTACAGGGACCTGACTGTTATGATATTACAGGGACCTGACTGTTATGATATTACAGGGACCTGACTGTTATGATATTACAGGGACCTGACTGTTATGATATTACAGGGACCTGACTGTTATGATATTACAGGGACCTGACTGTTATGATATTACAGGGACCTGACTGTTATGATATTACAGGGACCTGACTGTTATGATATTACAGGGACCTGACTGTTATGATATTACAGGGACCTGACTGTTATGATATTACAGGGACCTGACTGTTATGATATTACAGGGACCTGACTGTTATGATATTACAGGGACCTGACTGTTATGATATTACAGGGACCTGACTGTTATGATATTACAGGGACCTGACTGTTATGATATTACAGGGACCTGACTGTTATGATATTACAGGGACCTGACTGCTATGATATTAGAAGGACCTGACTGTTATGACATTACAGGGACCTGACTGTTATGATATTACAGGGACCTGATTGTTATGATATTACAGGGACCTGACTGCTATGATATTACAGGGACCTGACTGTTATGATATTATAGGGACCTGACTGTTGTGATATTACAGGGACCTGACTGCTATGATATTTGAAGGACCTGACTGTTATGACATTACCGGGACATGACTGTTATGATATTACAGGGACCTGACTGTTATGATATTAGAGGGACCTGACTGTTATGATATTACAGGGACCTGACTGTTAGGATATTACAGGGACCTGACTGTTATGATATTACAGGGACCTGACTGCTATAAATTAGAAGGACCTGACTGTTATGACATTACCGGGACATGACTATTATGATATTACAGTGACCTGACTGTTGTGATATTTCAGGGACCTTACTGTTATGATATTACAGGGACCTGACTGTTATGATATAATATGGACATAACTGTTGTGATATAACAGGTACCTGACTGTTATGATATTACAGGGACCTGACTGTTGCGATATAACATGGACATGACTTTTATGATATTACAGGGACCTGACTGTTATGATATTTCAGGGACCTGACTCTTGTGATAGTTCAGGGACCTGACTGTTATGATATAACAGGGACCTGACTGTTGTGATATTTCATGTACCTTACTGTTATGATATTACAGGGACCTATATTACAGGGACCGGATTGTTATGATATTACAGGGACCTGACTGTTATGATATTACAGGGACCTGACTGTTGTGATATTACAGGGACCTGACTGCTATGATATTACAGGGACCTGACTGTTATGATATTAGAGGGACCAGACTGTTATGATATTACAATGTACAGGGACTTGACTTTTTTGATATTACAGGGACCTGACTATCATGATATTACAGGGACCTGACTGTTGTGATATTACAGGGACCTGACTGTAGGTCTACAGGTCACGCCTCACCCCACAGTAGGTAAAGGTCTACAGATCCCGCCCCACCCCACGGTAGGTATAGGTCTACAGGTCACGCCCCACCCCACGGTAGGTATATGTCTACAGGTCACGGCCTCACCCCACGGTAGCTTTAGGTCTACATGTCGCGCCCCACCCCACGGTAGGTATAGTTCTACATGTCACGCCTTAACTAAGATTACCCAATATCTCTAATTGTCATTACAGGGGAAGAGGAAGGAAATGGGCCGGACGTACCGCCCCCTGCCATCATCGGTGGCACCGATGCTCCGGAGGACGCCTGGCCATGGCAGGTTCTGCTCTTGTACCGTAACAAGTTTATATGTGGCGGTACTCTTCTGAACGATAACACTATACTCACCGCGGCCCACTGCACTTACCGAGGCAAGTAAGTAACATGTGATCTTCCATGTTCCATTCAGATACACGTGATTATCATGTCCACTAAATCTACAGTAGATATAGGTCACACCACGAGATCTCGAGGTCTTTTTCTAGTACTGCTTTACCGTCGCCGACAAGTCGTATCAAGTAGACGACATGTCCCACTGGCTTTACCGTGGCCGACAAGTCGTATGTAATTATCATGTAGACGACATGTCCCACTGGCTTTACCGTGGCCGACAAGTCGTATGTAATTATCATGTAGACGACATGTCCCACTGGCTTTACCGTGGCCGACAAGTCGTATGTAATTATCATGTAGACGACATGTCCCACTGGCTTTACCGTGGCCGACAAGTCGTATGTAATTATCATGTAGACGACATGTCCCACTGGCTTTACCGTGGCCGACAAGTCGTATGTAATTATCATGTAGACGACATGTCCCACTGGCTTTACCGTGGCCGACAAGTCGTATGTAATTATCATGTAGACGACATGTCCCACTGGCTTTACCGTGGCCGACAAGTCGTATGTAATTATCATGTAGACGACATGTCCCACTGGCTTTACCGTGGCCGACAAGTCGTATGTAATTATCATGTAGACGACATGTCCCACTGGCTTTACCGTGGCCGACAAGTCGTATGTAATTATCATGTAGACGACATGTCCCACTGGCTTTACCGTGGCCGACAAGTCGTATGTAATTATCATGTAGACGACATGTCCCACTAGCTTTACCGTGGCCGACAAGTCGTATGTAATTATCATGTAGACGACATGTCCCACTAGCTTTACCGTGGCCGACAAGTCGTATGTAATTATCATGTAGACGACATGTCCCACTGGCTTTACCGTGGCCGACAAGTCGTATGTAATTATCATGTATCTTCTCAGTGCACAATGTGCTATAATAACTAGCATGTACTGTTATCTTATTTCGAGATAGTGTCTTCATTCAGAGATGATTTTCAACTTGCAGTCAAAGAGTGACTTTTTTGTTTTTTTATTAAACCATTTTTCTTTCGAAGGGCAAAGAAGTTCAGAGTAGTGATCGGGGAATACAACAGAAAAAAAAATGAAAGGAAAACTAGAGGCGAAAAGAAAATGGCAGTGAAGAAGATAATAGAGGTATAAAAACATGGTCAAAGATATACCAACCTTAAAGTGGATACGAAATTAGCATTATGCTACAAGTATTAAAGATTAAACTACAAGTATTAAAGATTATACTACAAGTATTAAAGATTATACAAACATTTTATAAACACATTCTCTTTGAGTATCATGGCGTCCTCACTTTAATATCATCTGATACTAATATAGTAATATGACGTCCTGACTATGATGACATTAGATACTAATATAGTAACAAGACCTCCTGACTATCATGGCGTTAGATACTAATATAGTAACAAGACCTCCTGACTATGATGGCGTTAGATACTAATATAGTATCAAGACCTCCTGACTATGATGACCATAGATACTGATCTAGTATCAAGACCTCCTGACTATGATGGCATTAGATACTAATATAGTAACAAGACCTCCTGGCTATGATGACATTAGATACTAATCAAGTATCAAGACCTCCTGAATATGATGACATTAGATACTAATATAGTATCAAGACCTCCTGACTATGATGGCGTTATATACTAATATAGTAACAAGACCTCCTGACTATGATTACATTAGATACTAATATAGTAACAAGACCTCCTGGCTATGATGACATTAGATACTAATCAAGTATCAAGACCTCCTGAATACGATGACATTAGATACTAATCAAGTATCAAGACCTCATGAATATGATGACATTAGATACTAATATAGTATCAAGACCTCCTGACTATGATGGCATTAGATACTAATCTAGTATCAAGACGTCCTGAATATGATGACATTAGATACTAATCTAGTAACTAGACCTCCTGACTATGATGGCGTTAGATACTAATCTAGTAACAAGAGCTCCTGACTATAATGACATTAGATACTAATCTAGTATCAAGACGTCCTGAATATGATGACATTAGATACTAATATAGTAACAAGACCTCCTGACTATCATGGCGTTAGATACTAATCTAGTAACAAGACCTCCTGACTATAATGACATTAGATACTAATCTAGTAACAAGACGTCCTGAATATGATGACATTCGATACTAATCTGTTATCATTGCGTCCTGACTATAATGACATTAGATACTAATCTAGTATCAAGTCCTCCTGACTAAGATGACAGTAGATACTAATCAAGTATCAAGACTTCCTAACAATGATGACCATAGATACTAATCTAGTATCAAGACCTCCTGACTATGATGGCATTAGATACTAATCTAGTAACAAGACCTCCTGACTATCATGGCGTTAGATACTAATATAGTAACAAGACCTCCTGACTATGATGGCGTTAGATATTAATATAGTACCAAGACCTCCTGGCTATGATGACATTAGATACTAATCTAGTAACTAGACCTCCTGACTATGATGGCGTTAGATACTAATATAGTAACAAGACCTCCTGACTATGACTACATTAGATACTAATATAGTAACAAGACCCCCTGGCTATGATGACATTAGATACTAATCAAGTATCTACTAATATAGTAACAAGACCTCCTGACTATCATGGCGTTAGATACTAATCTAGTAACAAGAGCTCCTGACTATAATGACATTAGATACTGATCTAGTAACAAGACCTCCTGACTATGATGACATTCGATACTAATCTAGTAACAAGACCTCCTGACTATGATGTCATTAGATACTAATCTAGTATCAAGACCTCCTGACTATGATGGCATTAGATACTAATCTAGTAACAAGACCTCCTGACTATAATGACATTAGATACTAATCTAGTATCAAGTCCTCCTGACTAAGATGACAGTAGATACTAATCAAGTATCAAGACTTCCTAACAATGATGACCATAGATACTAATCTAGTATCAAGACCTCCTGACTATGATGGCATTAGATACTAATCTAGTATCAAGACGTCCTGAATATGATGACATTAGATACTAATCTAGTAACAAGACGTTCTGACTATGATGGCGTTAGATACTAATCTAGTAACAAGACGTTCTGACTATGATGGCGTTAGATACTAATCTAGTATCATGACGTCCTGACTATGATGACCATAGATACTAATCTAGTATCAAGACCTCCTGACTATGATGACATTAGATACTAATCAAGTATCAAGACTTCCTGACTATGATGACATTAGATACTAATCTAGTATCAAGACCTCCTGACTATGATGGCGTTAGATACTAATCTGTTATCATTACGTCCTGCCTATAATGACATTAGATACTAATCTAGTAACATGACGTCCTGACTATGATGGCGTTAGATACTAATCTAGTAACAAGACGTCCTGACTATTATGATATTTGATACTAATCTAGTATCATGACGTTCTGACTATGATGTCGTTAGATACTAATCTGTTATCATTACGTCCTGACTATAATTACATTAGATACTAATCTAGTATCAAGACGTCCTGAATATGATGACATTAGATACTAATCTAGTATCATGACGTTCTGACTATGATGGCGTTAGATAGTAATCTAGTATCATGACGTCCTGACTATGATGACATTAGATACTAATCTAGTAACAAGACGTCCTGACTATGATGATATTTGATACTAATCTAGTATCATGACGTTCTGACTATGATGTCGTTAGATACTAATCTAGTTTCATGACGTTCTGACTATGATGGCGTTAGATACTAATCTAGTATCATGACGTCCTGACTATGATGTCGTTAGCTACTTATCTAGTATCAAGACGTCCTGACTATGATGGCGTTAGATACTAATCTAGTAACATGACGTCCTGACTATAATGGCGTTAGATAATAATCTAGTATCAAGACGTCCTGACTATGATGTCGTTAGCTACTTATCTAGTATCATGACGTCCTGACTATGATGGCGTTAGATAATAATCTAGTAACATGACGTCCTGACTATAATGGCGTTAGATAATAATCTAGTAACATGACGTTTTGACTATGATGGCGTTAGGTACTTATCTAGTATCATTAAGTCCAGATTATGATGACATTAGATACTAATATCTCGCATTTATTACATTGTATGCGTTGCAGCACCCAGATTACGACGGGAATGTCTTACACGATATGTCCATCATAAAGTTAAAAGGAAGAGTAAAGTTCAACACTTACATTCAACCGATACCTGGACTTGCGGATACGGACATGGACCTTATCAGTAGCACCTGCTTTGTTACCGGCTGGGGGGCTTATAAAGGTAACTGTAGCAGCACGTACATGTAATCATTTATCGGAACAAAATAGAATTGGTAGTAAATACTGGCAACACTAAACTATTGTGTTCAAATTGTGTTTAAGATATACTCAACTCCGGCTTACATTTTATGGATTATTCAATTCTTTATATTTTATTGTTTTAAACAGAAAGAGTGAACAGCTGGATTAGCCTTTATGACTTCCATTTTTGTAGTAGGACATCACAAAACATTATTTGTTAAATTTATGAGTTAAATTGACCGGCTAGTGTTGTAGGGGAGGTAACTCTGGTATTGGTACCAAAGTGAGGTACCAATGTAATACACATATTTATAGTCAAACAAGTAGAGTGAGGTCATTCATAAGTCATCCTTCTATCCATCCACACATACTTAGTGGTCGAAGGCAATAGGGAACATTATATTTTTACTACTGGTTGCCCATGTTAACATGTAACAGGTATATAATTTTACAAGCCCTTTGTGCTCCTCAGAATGTTGTTTTGTTATGAAATGTGTAAAAGGTCTGATTAAATACAAGATCAGTATATATGGTGGAGTGATAGAGTAATTACCTCAGTCACCACTACAATGGGCGATGGTCATACACACAATGTAGTAGGTTCCTTCTAAATTAAACCTTCTGCTTAAATAACTGCAATATGTTCACTCTCAATACATTGTCGTCGTTTAGAATATAATAATGGCAGTTAAGAACATTATAACAATGTCCGATTGTTCTATCTTTCTGTTGAATTTCACTTGAAATCGAGGGTCAGTGGATTATCAATGACATACATTTTATGTCTTGGAGGTTTTATATTCAGATGTATTTAATGTTTCTCTGTCTTGGATTGGATCTGGATTTAAGTGAAAGTCTATGTGTTACTCCACTGCCGTCTGTTCCCCGTCAATATGTTACTCCTCTGTCGTCTGTCCCCCGTCAATATGTTACTCCTCTGTCGTCTGTTCCCCGTC